GAAGCTCCATGTGTTTTGATGACGGTCTGGAGACGATCGCGATGTGCGTGTCTAGTGGCATCGGATCTTCCTGCACTATCAGCACAGACAGGATGGTTCGACTACTGCTTATCGGCGAGTGGGACTGTTGCGCATTTCTGTACTAATGTGCTTATGCACCCCGTTGTACAATCTTCCATTGTTCATCCACATCGTAGCAAAACTCCTTGTACAGTGCCTAGTGAACAGAGGCCAATTCGAAAGCATAGCTGATGCTCGTGAACCCGAGTTTGTCGTGCTATCCGATGATTGTTTGGTCTGTAACAGTGCCTCTGAATAATGCCCCTCACTCAACTTTTTTGGTATACTGATTAGTCGGGAAAATTCCATCCAGTTGAGACTCGCCCAATCGAATCTGTGCTTGAGTTGCATTGATCTAATGGGCGTTTATTGGTTAGTTTACTCTCACTCGAGCTTGTACTCATCAGTGGATTACAGAATGGAACTTGCTTTCGGACAGCTTGATTGTTCCGGTTTAGTTTGCGGTGATACAGTGATACACTGGGAACAGACTTGTTTTCTTGGCGGACTTCAGATTACCGTAACAGTCTGGTCCTTGATGGTGACGCGTTGCTTTATTCACCATCACCGGCGTACTTTGGTCGCAGGGTTCAAGCCCCGCCACCTTCACCCAACTTTGGTGGTCACAGCTTTGCTGTCGTCCGGTTCAAAAACACGCCTAACCTAGCGCGGAGCCTTATGGGGTTCGCCACCCCAAATCTCGCTGGGCTTAGGTTACTGGTTTCCATCACTGAACAGCAGGTTCTCGTGACTGTGGGGTTCGCCTCGTTTGCTGTTCATCACACAAGTGTGTGTGTAATAAAGAAATAAAATTCCCCTCAGCTTCGCTCCCATGATCAATCACTTGGATGTGTTTTTGGTATATAGAATCGATCCTTGATGCGCCCTACCACTCATGACAGAACAGCTCTCGTTACCACACTTAGGGTCCCGCTGATCGTAAGTGAACACTCACGTCGTGAATTTCGCATCAAACACGATCACTTCCTATCACAATAAGACTCGTCTTGTTAAATGAATAACTCACAGTCCTCAACGTATTTTCATACACTTTACATTAAACCGACGGACATGTTTCTTGTCCGCCTATTGTCTCAGGCATTTGTATAAACCCGTTAGGTAATCAATTTCAGAATAACTTAATTTCGTGCTGCATCTTTGATGTACCGCCTGGTTCAAGCACTGGTTTTACCATGGCGGTAAGTAGTGATTGCCTCAATGTCCCTCAGAAAAACATCTCCCTCCCCATATATCCCGTTCAGTAACTATCTGCTCGTACTAACACACTGATTGATTTTTTCATGAGTAACACTTCCTAAGTCTTCCACAACTTTGCCCTTTGGTCGTTTTATTGCTTCTTTTCAATCCGCCAATCGTATTGCATCATCATCATCGTACAGCGAAAAACAAGGAAGTGAGCATCACTAATCGCTGCCAAACTCGCAATGTATATGCATTGGAGTTTGATGGACGGATACTGCTAGGATGTCCAACCACTATGCAGGAGAACGCGTTGGACTCTCAGCCAAAGCCTTCAGTTCTGACAAGAACTTAACCGCAAGGCATAGGGTGAAGTGCAGGCCCGTTTACTTGGACCAACCACTCGTTCAGCATTTTTATCGACTGAAACGCAAATTCTAGTCGACTTCCCAACACGAAGGACACAAAAAACGTCTTTTTAGTTCCTTTTTTATTTATTGAATATACAAGTATACAGTCAACTTTCAGGAAGGAGGCTACGGCCGCACAAAGGCTGCCTGGGGAAAATACAGATATAGGGAAGACGGGTGGCGGTGGAGCGGCTCAAACTCGGGACTTCCGGGTCACAATTTGGTGACCTAACACAACTTGGCCACCACCGCCCAGGAGACTGAACTTCGTCCGACCTATATCCTTCGACTTTCCAGGCATAAGTAGATCTTCGGCTTGACAAAAGCTATCCTGTGTAGCTCGTTGGGCCAGATAGGTGCACAAGCCACACCACGTCAAGGTACGGTTTTTTCGTATTGCCTACGCTTATATAATACCTGGACGTGACCGAAATGGCCATGCCAAAGCTCCTACAGATACATGTCACGTTAGGCCTACGAAGGCCCAGTTCAATTGGCCTTCGTCG